AAATTCAGATCTACAATTAATGTAAAAATGTCAAAGAAAATGACCGTTTCTTTTTAATTTGGCGGTCAACCTTTATATTTTGGGTATTTGTTGTGGTTGTAGACACATTAATTATAGGAAAAAGGTTTGGCCTCACTAATAAATTCTCTACTTACTTTATGATATGCTTCATTTATGTCAAAAATTAAAGAATTAAATGATGTGTATAAATATATAAATATATATTTTTACTACTCGTGAAATTCGAACCTCCAACGATATAAAAGGTTATATATGTCTTAACCAATTAAACTATATTCAAGTTGACCATAGGTAATTTAGTTCACACTTTTCATTTTCCAATTTTGTTTCTCGCCCCTTTATTTAATGGTAATACTGGAAGGAAAATATAAAATCTTGAGATGACATTTTTTATTCTTTTGGCTAGTCGTTAGTATAATAGTATTTTTTTTTTCCCTAGTGTATATTTGCAAAGGAGGGTTTATGAATCGAGGGTCAGGTATAATGTGGGTAAGTATTTAACTTTATAATGGACATGTACAACGAAAAATTATAATGGGTGGCAAAACTTACTGTTATATTAGCAAACTTGTACAGGACTGATGTACTTTCCATTATTGATAAGGTATGTCCACTATAAAATATATCATTGATATTCCATTTTTGTAACATTGACAAAATTTATCATTGGTATACTAATACAAAATGTAACAACAATATCCAAATTTTTAATTATCGATAAAATTTAGGTTAAGGTTCGTAAATCAAATCACTAATATACATTCTAACTTTTTGAAAAGCTATCAATTTGAACCCTCAAAAGAGAAGAATGAAAACAAGTGGCTGGAGATTGCAGCTAACCATGTTTACATTCAACTTTTGAGTCTGATATGAACATACATTAAAACTACATAATATCGAGTAAACAAATATTAAATAGCAAAATAATAACAAATAACCAAAATATGCAAGTTTAAAGTCCAGAAATAAAACTTCAATCGATTTAAATTGGTTGCATCTGTAAAAAATATCTCAGTAGTAATGAATGAGAAAATAAAATAGAACATGAAAATCATTCATGGGCCAAAGAATAACTCAATTAGTAAATCGACCATTAGGACGTATGTTTATTAAATAAAGTAGATTGTTAATCTTTTAAAGATTAAAATTCATCCATCCAACCAATATCACCATGCCTCATTTTTCCTTTCTATAATCACTTTTTTTTATGTGTATATATATATAATTGCTGATTGAAGGAAGTGATAACCAAACAAATAATTACAAAGCTTCAAAATTTTAAGTGAAAACTTGGCATTAAAAATATAACTAAAGAACCAGACCATACAAAGAATAGATTGTGAGTGAAAAAACAGTAAAATCCTCACTTGGGCAGTATCACATCACATACATTAATAACTCAAAAGCCTCACCACCATCAGAAGAACTTTTTCAAGTCGATATATTACCCTAAACTCGTTTGTAGAAGAGAACATAGGCCCTGTCATGTAACACGTTATTCGCCCCGATGGCAGTCACAGATGCATCGTCAAATCGTAGCCATTGGTTGTTAGGATATCGAGCATCGGCAGTGTAATGCCCCTTTGAGGACTCTCTCCCGTGATGGGTTATGGTGGCCACAAGTTCATATTTCCTACCCTGAAAGAATTACAACCAAGAGAGAAACAATTAGCAAAAGTTCTTACTTGAACCATAACTGTTGGTATTAAAAGACTGTAATAATGTAAGAGAGCATGAAAAATAGGTACCTCTGTGGATGATGAGACGAGAAGATCGCGGTTCAAAACCAACTCGAGTGGGAAATACACAGGCTTATTCAACTTGGTACTTCCTTGGCTTCCATAACCAAAACGCTTCAGATGTAATATCATTATCTTAGACTGCTTCTGTATCTTCACAGATTTTCTAGCAGTCACCACACCAGCCTGGAGAAAATATATCTCAATTTTAGAAATATTCGAAACTACAAAATATGCGAAGTGAAGTGCCTGCAGCAATAATCAATTTGCACCAATCGGAATTTGGACAGAATGCAATTTCAGTCTTGTTGTTCTTGGAGAAATTACATTGCTCTCCAAATATTTGCTTATTTTTAAAATGGAACATTAACGTTTCACCTGAAAAGGCGTCCATAAAGAGAATAATAGACTTCTATAACCCTCAGTTTGCCACCATCTTAAATCAGTCACTTTCTTTTACTACATTATATGTATTACCTTCAATAAACAAATAATAAATTTAAGTGATCCAGTAAAAACCTTACAGCTCTACAGTAAATTTACGAGAACACTCATTAGATTATTATCAATACAGATGAATGCCAATCCAATACATCGTTGCATGACAAGTTTCCAAAACTATGCAAATAAAAGGGATTCGTTTGTATTAACTAAATCAATACTCAATTTCCAATTTGGAGCCCTTTTGATCTAAGAAGTAATAGAATAGAATGGAGTCAAATGTAAGTCTTTCTGCAGAAGCAATATACTAGAACCCTGTTTATCCAGAGTCATAAACGCAATCGGCAAAAAAAAAAGAATGCAAGTGCATGGAAAAACATGCATGCGGCAGAATAAAGAAACTGGTTTCTGTAGATCTGTGCAAGAGAGAGTATACCTTCCCAGCAGCTGATGGTCGGTACCCTTCAAGAGTTTCTGGTGCAGAAAACAAACGTAGAGCATCCTCAATAGTGTGAACAGCATCAGGGTAAATATCAAGGTGTAGCAAAAGAAATGGTTGAACAGTAGCAGAAGGTTTATTTCCTGATCAATCCCACAACAAAAACTGGATTAGAGGTGATGAAACCAAGAAAAAGTAAGCAGATATCTAGACAACAATAAATCAATCAGATCAAAGATACTGCAGCTAAAAAATAAATCATCTCAATCACATTAAAAAGGATGTCGGTGAGCAAACACACAATCAAAAATATTAATACATTTGTATGTATTTGTATGGGAGCGTGTACCAATCTTTTTGCAATTTAGTTATGCTAAAAAAAATTGGTTCTGTTAAAGATGTACAGTACAAAAGAGATATTACACAAATTGATGTCAACTGATGACCACAGTGGAAGCTGCAAAATGAATCCCATTCTGACCATAGATATAATTTTGCGAATATTACTGTTAAATATTTACTTTAGTCTTTCATAATAGACTTGGTGTTGATGTCTTTTTTCTTAAAATGTGCTGGATAAGAAATCCATTAGATGGAAAAGTACGCACAACAGAGGGAGAGGGAAACTAGATAAACACCCCTAAACCCAACTAGTTGAAGGAAAATAAAGTATATATGGGTACATTCAAGTCATTGAAAACCAAAAAATAAACCACCTCGCTTAGCATTAAGCCTCCCCAGCTCGCCCACATCCTCTTCTTCATCCTAAAAACTCCTTCAATTTATTCCGCTCCATAAATATTTTCCATATGATTGCACCAATGACTATATAAAAACACTGTATTGAACCACCACCACCAACAACAAAACAAGGAGCCAAGTGAACGGAAAATAATAAATGCACAACCAAACAATAGCAAGTAAATTGTCCGAAAAAAAATAATGGCAAATTTCATATTTATGATGGGCTTAGACAATATAATAAGTTAACTAAAAGACAAGATTGCACACAAAAATCATACTTAACATACAGAGAGCACCACAGCCAAACAGCAATTTGCAAGTCAACTAGTTGCCAAAATTCCAAACATAAGTAATCAAATACCAAGTAGCAGAATAATCCCAAAAGATATGAGCTAGATTATAAATGAAAACTACCAACAATCATCCAGTCACATTAAAAACAAAACCAATCCATAACTTTTGTGCCCGTGCCATGTGTATGGTAAAGCATATACTACCTTTTGCCTTCACCATGCTTGTCAGTTGACCCCCAAAGATTTCGCTTAACTCTGAAGGAACAAAACTCTGTGTTCTCATAACTGCAGTTTTGTTCTTCCGCCCAACTGTCTCCCATTCATCATCTTCGGCAGAAGCAACTACAAACGATTTACCCCCATTGTTACTTGAAGACATTCCATCAAGCTTCAGTAATTCAGCATGCATCCGATCCATGACAAAACTTAAGAATTCTTGTGCGTCTTCCTGCCTGGATGAGCATAATGACAGGGATTTAATATTCATTCAAGCATAAAGAATATTTTAGGGGTGATAATGTTTCTAGAAACTTCTGATATACAATAGACATCATGTCTGTCAGTGGAAATCTCCTTTTTTCATGAGCTTACAATAAATACTTCCCTCAAGTAGAAATTTAAATCTCTGTGAAATCGTTAAAAAGGCTGAACAAAAAGAAGATAAGTATGAATATGTTTAATGATACTAAGTAAGCAACTATTTTCAAAACTCTCTTTTCTTATATTTATGACAAAGTATGAATAAGTTTAACAGAATGCTATAACCCATTTACAAATTTGTTTTCATTTTTTATCTCTTTTTCTCCTTTTCATACTCAAAATTCTTGTGCGGTTTCTCTGTTTTGGGAGCTTGGACTTCAACCATAATTCACCAAATAAAAAAATAAAAATTGATAAACCCTTAAACAGTGTCAAAAATACAGTCAGAAAAGAAATGCAAACATATTCAAGGAATTAAGTGAGTTCAGAGTTTCAAAATACAAATTAATTTTAAATTATCCATAAAAAGTCTCAACAATAAATAATATCAATATCAAATTGTCCATATATCAACAACAATTTGGAACCTTAACATGAACCTGATGTGGAACAAGTCACCAAAATGATTCACGAGATTATCATAACTTCATAACTTCCAGCAATGCTTCTCAATTGGGTTGAGATAACAAGAATGAAGTATCAGTAGGTAATACACATCAAATAAAGGTTTTATGAAGGATAGCTATTGGATTCCTAGTCCTCCGACATTGATCCTACTCTGCAGTTCAAGTCTACAGGTTTTTTCACTTTTCAATAATATTACATCTATCATGGCCGGTTGTGAAAAATAAAAGGCACCACTGTATCAATGGCTACATTCAATAAATTAAACCACAACCAAGGATGAGTAAGGCATTGAAAAGAAAAGGTATATGCATCCACAAACCTTGGACGGCCCACGATACCGCTGGGTAGATCTGGAGTAAAATTCTTAAGAACGCCGTCAAACATAAGAGGGCTAAAAGGCTTCCCAACGTCACGAGCAGCCACATCCTTATTCAATACACTTGAACTAGGTACTTCAAAGGCGGATACAAACTCCACAAATGCAGTTAACGTAGAATAACCAGCCTAGAAAATAAAAGTCATCAAGTCATAAATTCACCATGAATGACTCCAAATCTATTTGCTTTGTATTTATATCACGGTAACAAAGACAGAATATAATAGGAAGGAAAATAACCTTGGGGATTTCACGATTCCTTAAATTTCTCAAGAGAGCAACAAAAGGAGGACAGGATAAAAGAGCCTGCAGAGTCGAGTTCAGAAAGCATAGATTCCCTGAGTTTATTAAACCTCGAGGTAGTAGCTTAGTGGAGGATGTAACAGAATCATTGGATGCACTTCTGAAATTTTCTTTCAGAACAGTTTCTTTCAAATCGTCAATACTACCATTTTGCTTGCTATCTTCTGCTACCAATCTCGAAAATTGATTTAAAGAATTATTCTGACCCTTTGATATACATAAGGACGGAAGGTCAGTGTGGTCTATTTTCGTTTCTGTCACCCCATTAGTACAAGAAGAGATTTTATCAGGATTGTAATTATTTCCATTCTCTCTTGGCACTCCTGATACCTGGGGAGAAAAACTTTTCTTTCTTGGGGTAGTTTCCAGTTCAGTATCATTCTTAGCTAAATCAAGGGACTCCAAATGTATGGATTCTGTTGAGGAACCAGAAGGTTCTTTCAGTTCACCGTCAACAGAACTGCCCAATGATTTTCCGTCCGTAAAATTCAAAGAACCAAATTGCACATTTACATTATCAGCCAGCTTTCCATGATTCACACACGACTGAGATTGAATCCATGAACTGGTTTCGTCTTCAGTGAAAGACCCAAATATGAAAACCTGACAAAAGAGAAAATATAAGTCCAGAGTTCGCAAACACACACAAACGCAGAGCATCCCAATAACAAACAATGAAAATATTAAAACCCACTTCAAAGATTTTGCCCCTGGTTATTTAAGCGTCGTGGAATCAAAATAGTAAATTGAGAAAAATAACAGCAGAACACGGAAAAAAAATGTAAAAAAAAAAAAACAATCTTCACTCAATACAGCTTCCCAAAGGAAGGTGGGGGGAAAAACAAAATCTTACCTTAGAATCGCTCATATCTCGAATTGGATTGGAATTGGAAGCCAAAGAGCCTGAGATTAAAACAAGGGTGGTTTTGACTATAGAGAAGGAGAAAGGGGAGCAGGCATATAGGGGAGGAACCGGAATGAAAGCCTAGGGTTTTAGAAGACCCTGAAGGATGAGGAGCAGATAAAAGCAAACCACCGACTGAAGACATGAAAGGAGAAGAAACTGAGCAGTGGTTGAAGAGAGAGAGCGGTTGAGAATGGAACCCTCTCTATGGCCCTCGCCGACCAGCACCACAGAACAGAGCATCGACTGCGCAGTCAGTCACGAGAGGAAGAAGACGAACTGAATTGCGATTCCCAAATCCCAATCCGTCTAGGTTTTGGTTTAGGGCTTAGAATTCGAATGCGTGACGTGAAGAAGAAATTTGGAAATTTTAAAGCCCTAGCTCCACTCCGATGGGCGACAAATTTTTTTCCACAAACAGATTGAAATTTCAGAATTGAGACTCGGCGTGGAGTCTACCATGAATTTGAATCGGGCTCGACCAATATTGGCCCAATTTTGGATTCTCCATTTTTTTTAAAAAAAAAATATCATTTTATTTTATTTTATTTGTATAAAATTTCCTTATTATTATTATTATTTTTTGAAAGGGATAAAATTCCTTGATGGTTCTTAATTTGATTTGCATTTGTTTTGAATATTGTCCTTTTTATATCCAGAGTGTAATAAATTTGCTATTTGCTAATATATTTATTTGTTAAATGAGTTCTAGTATAAGATTATCCATTCTACATAATAATATTTAGGTTTAAAGTTGAAGATTTAAAGATTTTTAGTGAAGTAGTATAGAGTAGGATTGATCCTTTGAAATCATGCATTTTAATTTAGTCTCATTTTCTTCTTTTTCATGTTTTTTTTTTAGTCTAAGAAGTGAATATTAAGTTAGTTTTTTTTTTTTTTACCCAACAAATGTGGAATGAGGAATTCAACTTCCAACTTCTAAGAAATCAACAAGATACTACCGAGCTATATTCACATATTAAGTCGATTTAATCTTTGTTTTTTTTAATATTATCAACGTCGTTAAATTTGAGATTACGTGGTTAGAAATTATAATATTTCAGTATAAAATGTAAGTCACATGTTAATATAATTATATTATATCCAATTCAAGCGTGGCTCAGATAGTCAAGGTGTATATCTTCTTGACCAAAAAGTCGGAGGCTTGAATCCGAACGTATAGTTATATTATAGACTTATTTAATATTCCATATAAACTCATATGTAATTAAGAAGTATGGTTATAGATTCTAATACACTAAATTTATTATCTTGTTCCTCATTTCCCAAAAATATACATACATATATATATATATATATATATATATATATTATGTCGTTGATTAGTTGTGTTGTTTCCCTTGCTAATAATGTCATTCTACAAATACTTTATTCGTTAATCAACATGCTATTTTATGTGGATTTATGTCCCATGGTCATAAATAAAGTTACTAATGACATGTTCTTAAGTTTTTTAATCTAAAGTATGCTATATAGGATGTGTTATACCATGTCGTTTGGGTTCGATAATAATTTAGATGCCATGTTTTTTATTGATATATATTTGACTTCATATTATTTTTTTTAGTACAACATGTGAGGTGGAGATTCGAACCCTCGATCTCGTAATTGGATACACATGTTTTTTAACTTGTCGAGCTATGTTTTCATTTACGACTGTAGAACACTGTTAATTTGTAATTTGTAATTTATGTTGCTTTTTAACCGTGTCTATATAAATTAATGTTGCCAAATGTCAATGATGAATTATATACCAATATTGTTTGCATTTTCTCAAAGTCGTAAACAACTGTTTTTATTGTTTAAAAAATATTAATAATAATAATAAACAACCGTTTTTATAAGGATATAGTTGTAATAGCTTACTAAAAATAAAAATAAATAATAACTCCTTTTATATATATATATATAATAAAATTTGCAACTAATGGAGTTACAACAAAAGGCATGGTTATTTAAACTAAGGATAATTGCTTAACTTGATGGTCATGGTGCGATTATATACCATAACATTTTTTAGTACAACATGTATGGATCGAAGATTGGAACTCACCATATTTTAATCATATATATAGGTACTTCAACTCGTTGAGTTATGTTTAGGATAACAATTGTATAGCATAACTAATGATACGTTAGATTTAAATAATATTATAGATTAATAATAAATTGTTTGATAATTTAACCAAAATATAATATACTGCAAAAATATGATCGAGCTAAACAAACGTGTCTTTGTTTTTCTTATATCTAAAATGTTGGATATATTTTTTAGGTACCCTACTCATCATCTAATTTTAACATTCACAAACAAAGAAATAATAATTAAAAAAAGTTATGATATAAGGGACTAAATTGAAAAAGAAAAAAATTTTAAGGATTAGGTTACCTAATTTATATTTGACCTAATTTTCAATATATTTCAATTATATACTTTCAATTTTTATTCATTTTAATTCTTAAACTTTCAAAAAGGGTTGAATTTGATATATGCACTTTAAATTTTAGTAATTTACCTTCAAAATATTAGTAATTTACCTTCAAAATATTAGTCACTATACTTATAAAAGTTACTATTCACAAAATTTTAACACAAATTATATATATAAAGAAAATATTTAATATAAAAAATGATTATTTTTAAAAAATATATGAGTGTTTTTTTAAGTAGAACATATTGGAACAACAGATTCGAACTAACAACCAAAAAACAAAGAGTGTTGCATTTGTTGGAGTCACTACTAAAAATGGGATTAAAAATAAAATTATGGCCAAGTACGAGTAGAACGAAAATAAAAAAAATAAAATTATGGCCAAAATAAGTTGAAATTATGAATACCAAAGTAGTCTTTTAACCTAAATTATAGTAGCACATAAAACTGTTATCAAATCATAAATTTATGTTCCTTTCCCGGCCATCGGAGAGACACAATCGGAAATCGGAAGGCATATCCGTTTCTCGCCGGCCATCATGCCGATGCCGAACTACCAGCAGATGCAGACCTCAATTCGCCATACGCAGACCTCTTCCTCATCCTCTACTTCCAGACTTCTTCTTCTTCTAACCTTCCTCCCTCTCACTCTCGCAGCCTTGGCTTTCGTCCTCCAATGGCGCGGTGGACTCACCGATCCCGCCACTCGCTGGTCTCCCCCCGGTTCATACCAGTTCCCCGGCATGGACGCCTCCCCACTCTCCCCGATTTCCCGCCATTCCCCGCCTTCTGCTTCTGGCTGTCTCAATCTCGGCCGGAGTGTCTCGCCTTCGTTCCCCTACTACCAGGACTGGAAGTTCGATCCCGGATCGAATTTGAAGCCTAAGGTTTCTTCCCTTTTCTTCAAATTTCGCTTTTAATTGGTGTTCTGAAGTTGATTTATAGGCTGTATTGGGAATGAATTAATGTGTGGAGCTGAGAATTGGGGAAATGGTTAAGAAGGTGGTTGTCCTGTTTGTCCTTTGATTTCTGATGGCTGATGTTGAACGATAATGCATTTTATCTGAGAACTCAAATATATATTTTTTTTTTATGGGAATTTTGACCCTGATGCTGAATTTAGTTGAAACGAGTTCATAAGCTTCTTCTTGTTGTTGTGCTCCCCTTTTTCCCTTCAATGTGTAGATATGCATTACAACAAGTACGTCAGCAGGATTAGAGCAAATTTTACCCTGGATGTTCTATCACAAGGTCATTGGGGTTGCAACCTTTCTACTTTTTGTGGAGGGAAAAGCTGCATCTCCCGATGTGACTAGAGTTTTGGAGTCAATTCCTGTGAGTTCAATTACCCTCCAAGCTGAATCCTCTCTCTCCCCCTTATTCCCTCTCCTAGTTGAAGCTGACCTTTATTGTGTTTGAGTTTTTCATTGTCTGCGAACTTGTTAAGCATAAGTTTAGCATTGCTTTTCAGGGAGTGAAGTTGATTTTCAGAACAAAAGAGTTAGAGGACCAGCAGGCACAAAGGTGTAAATTTCTGCTTTTTCTTTCTTTCTTTTTTTGTTTAAAAAAAAAAGAAAAAAGAAAAAGAAGAATCAATTTTCATTTAGTGGAAGTGAGGAAGTGCTTATTTCTTCTATTAAGTTTCTTTAAAAAATATCATATTGTCTGACCGGAAGCTCTATAGCCTAGCTGTTTTAAGATATGCTATTGGTTCACGATCATTTTCTCTGGAAATGGTGTCAACGAAAACTGAAACATGAAAAGATTGATGAGACCAATCTAGCCGAGTAATTTAAGTTTGTTTTGATCAGTCTGGTTAACTTGTTGACATTTGATTTAGTTTTTTTATGTAAAAAACACTGACTTTTAGTCAATTTCCAATTTTTCCTCAACTTCATTGTTGGTTCGATGATGGTATTAATTAAAGAAAGTAAGAACCAGATTACACTGATTTGCATACACTTGTATTTAGTGGAACATAAGTTCATGCAATTTTTTAAGAGTATTGAAGTTTTTGGTCTGTTGCTTTATTACCTGCTTCTGATACAATATTTGTTGTAAATCATTATCACAGATATAGACACACATACAGACACAATAAGCACAAAGCTTGATGATAAGTGCAAAAGAAAAGGGAAGTTGAAACGTACGAGTTACCAAAAACACTCCAATCAGCATTTGTCAATAAGAAATCATAATTATAGAAGTTTTAGAAAGGGTGCTCCAACTAGAAGACACAAACTTTGCTTAATCTTAAGTGTGTTCATAAACCGAGACACCTTTAAAATGTATGTTATTCCTTTTCAACCAAACTTTCCCAGAAATAGCAAAGGCTACATTAGACAGAGAATGGAAGCCTTCTTAAATCTGCAGCCAGACAATGGTCAGTGCAAATTGCCTTAGTTCTCCTAGGAAAGTTGTTAATAGAAATATTAGGAATAGAAGCTTACACCAGCAATTATACCTATAAGGGCAGGCAGTGGGTAAACTGGTGATCCAGCTCCTCCAAAATATCTGCTTAATTACCACCAATTTAGGGATAGGCACGTGGAGGGGCTATTTTTCAAGAGGGATACATGATTATTATATTTATTTAAGACTAATGTTATCAACGTTTTATATCTTATTATCTTTTAACTTTTCTTTTCTTCAATGTGAATGTCTGGTTTCTTTTGGCTATCCTCAGTCGGATCTGGAATGAAACATGGCTTTCTGGTTTCTTTTACAAACCTTGCAATTATGAACTATTTGTGAAGCAATCTCTCAATATGGAGATGGCTATTATTATGGCAAGGGTATGGAAAGTGTTCTTCTCATGGCCATTACTCTATTGCTACTTATTAATTATTCCCAATTGTATCACTATTAACTTGGCTGTTTAGTTTCTTCTCTCTCCTTTTTAAAATATCAGGATGCTGGAATGGATTGGATAATTCATCTTGATACTGATGAGTTGGTACATCCAGTCGGTGCTCAGGAGTACTCCTTGAGGCAGTTGCTGCTTGACGTGCCAGGAAATGTTGATATGGTTATTTTTCCTAACTATGTACGTGTTCATTATATCTTTTTGTTCTGTAATTTGGTTTCAAATTGTAAAGCACTTCAACTTGTCGACGTGCTTTTTCTTTTATGTTTTGATATTGTTGTGTGCTGCAATATAATATCAATGTTGGTGTTGTGTAGGAAAGCAGTGTTGAGAGAGATGATATAAAGGAACCTTTTACTGAGGTAGTTTCTTTCACTTTCCATTTTAATTTTTTTAGTTATTTCAGCTGATTAGCTGTAAATTTTGATTTCTTATCCACTATGACTTGTGCATATGCATTTGCATAGTGGTCTAAAAACATCGAAATATAAAATCTGCATGCAACTATTATAGTTAGTAAAATTTGGTTTTTATTGCTGATATTTGGGGTGCTTATAATTATCTTCTGTATAACCTTTATTTCCCTTTCCGTTGCCATCGGCCATTCAATATGCATGGCCATACTTTTATTCTTTCATTCTCCTCAATGAAATTGGTTTTCATGAATAAAGAAAAACTATGAAAGTTAATGGAGTTGTTTCTGAAAATACCGTACTTTAAAACCTGCTATATTTCGTAACTCAGTCCATAAGTTTTTCCTTCCCCTGGACAACCTTTGGAGCATTGGAGAAGATTTTAATGTAACAAGATGGCCCTCTGACAGATGTGGAAGAGTGACTAAAGCTATGAGGAAATTCAATTTGATTCTTGATGAATAAGAAGTTACGGAGGTGCCATTACTAATATGGCTTTACAGCCCTTTTATGTGTGTCCTATGGACTGTTCATAGTGAAAATCAGAGTCACATCTTCCTCTTTTGTCCATTAGCGGCTGCCTGCTGGAATTTTTTCCTTAATATTTTCAACATCTCATGGGTTTTTGATTTGGAAGGCTTCAAGAATGTCTATCCAGCTGCTTTTTGGCTTAAAGTTATCTCTTAAATCAACCCTCCTGTGGGTTAATGGTCTAAAAGCGCTAATCTCGAAATTGTGGTCGGAAAGAAACCAAAGGATTTTTGAAGAAAAAGAAGATCGGCTATTGATTGCTTCAACATGGCCAAGTTTAAAGCTTCGCAATGTTGGATGATTTTGTCACCTCTCAACATGAGTCGTTAGCTAGAATCTGTGAAGAAAAGTTCATCTTTATGTTTCTTACGTCGTAAGGAGAATTCAGATTATTAAAGATTAGTTAACGGGATTGAAGAATTTGCAAGATTTGATGTCTGATTCAGAAGATTCTCCGCCTTCGGCTCTCTCTTCGACCAATTAGATTTTCAACTCCTTTGGCGTTGAAGTTCCGATTTTCGAAAGGCTTAGGCTTCGCTTCTGTTACAAGACTCCTCTTTGAAGCTTTTTGATCAGTTATGACGGTCTTTGGTTGTTATTGTTCTTATTTTGTCTGTACTCATTATTGAGCATCTATTTTGTTCTCTTTCATATTCCTTTTCTTTTTCATTTTCTGTCACCCTTCCATCAGTTTGTATCATTGAACTTTTTCTCATTTTCATATATCAATGAAAAGTTGTTTTTGGTTAAAAATAAAAAAGGAAGAAAATACTGTGCTTACAGTTCAGAGATATTTTAATCATTAGAAGCTCATATTATTTTACAGCATTTGAATATTTGAGAGCTCTATATCTTGGGGCGTTCTATATTCCTAAGTTCTGAACCCAAAAAAAACGTTCAGTTAAAAAGTTCAAAATAATTCATTGGTCTCTTTGCCCTCCCAGCATTCTATTATTGCTAGGAAACATCTTGAGCTGTTGGAGTAGTTGAATGAGTAATGAAGCAGAAGCAGAAGAGGGGAAATGGAGAATGGATCTGATTTTCATGTTGATATGGATGAGTGGGATTGAGGTGGTTGTGATTCCATCTGTTAAACAGGAAATGATGTCCATTAGTTTTCCATTTCGGTGTCATATTTCTCATCAATTTATCACTACCATAGATATCTCATGTTAAGGAGGAAGCATTTTACTTGTGATGAGTTTTATATTTTGTTTTTATATTATTATGATGAAACGTGTGCTAAGAATAAGATGATGCTTGTTCTTGAAGATGCACCTACTATTTTGAGACAACTCTTTTTATGTACCCAGGTGTCAATGTTCAAGAAAAATTTTGACCACCTACCCAAGGATACATATTTTGGCATGTATAAAGAATCAGCTCGTGGTAATCCAAATTACTTTTTGACTTATGGAAATGGGAAATCAGCTGCTCGAATTCAAGATCATCTTCGACCAAATGGTGCACACAGATGGCATAATTACATGAAAACCCCAAAGTAAGAAGTTTTTTTTTGAAGTTGTAGTTTCAGGATAGCTAATTTTGCAGCACCAACTGTATTCGTGTAAATATCTGCCAGTGAGATTAAATTGGAAGAAGCTGCTGTATTACACTACACATATGCAAAGTTTTCTGACTTGACCTCTAGACGTGATCGCTGTGGCTGCAAACCTACCCAAGATGACGTGAAAAGATGCTTTATGTTGGAATTTGATAGAACTGTGAGTTTAGTGTCTCCTGATCTTGTTTTTCTTTCATAAGCATATAAGCTGCTGTCCACACAAAATGCTTCGAAGAACAGGCTTATGCAACAATCGCAGAGCAGTTTGAACCAATCCTATAATTTGATGTGGGTGAATAGATATTTGCATTAATTACTGCTTACATATGCTGCATTATATATTAAAGAAGTCGGTGTTGATTGCTGGTAAAAACTACTCTTTCATTCAGAGAACTGGGTTTGCCACATTATCTAGATGTTAGTAATTGACACGTAGGTAGAATGAAATTTGAGCTTCGGTTGAACCAT